CCCCCCCCCCAATACATTCTTTTTTGAGGAACGCCATCATACCCACTGATCAACAATATCCCCCCCAAAAAACTTCTTCACAAGATAGTTCTAAGTTTTTTCGACCTTTCTGGACAGCATACAATTCAATTGTTTCAAAATATTTACAATAAAATCATCAGTAAAAAACAGTTCAAATATCTGTAGTGGGATCAGTGGTCTTTGCATGTGATTATGTTGACAAAAGGCATAACAAGATTCAAACAATATCTTGTTTATTTTAGTTGCTTTGGGTAAATCTGAGTTCTGTAAATCTGAACTCGAACACTTATCTTGTTTTATTCTAATTTTCTTATTTTTCTTCTGTAAATTTTTATTCACTTGGTCTTCAAATAAGGTTCATCAGTTTTATAGGAACCAATTACTTCATTTTCTGTATCATTCCTAAGAGTTGCTTCAGCCTGTGCTGTGAGTTGATGAACGTTTAAATTATTTATGCTGTTACCCACATTCCTCATCTGCACTGTCTTCATCAGTGATGTCTCTGACATCTGGAGGAGGAGCAAAGTAGACATCCAATGGATTTTATGGTTTCTAAATCTTCTCTCCAACTTTAGAAAAGTAGCCAAAATTAAATCCACATAAAGATTCCTGCAAAATACATAAATGGAGGAACTCTCATTTGATGTAGAATAAAATATTTCAATTTTTTACCTAATACAAAGTAAAGTTCAGGTGCAAAAGTGTGTCTTCTGCAAAATGTAATCCCATGTGTTCAGTGGTACAAAAATAAAGTCACTCCATTTCAATAGCATTCATGGCGCACTTTTATATGTAATATTATTATTTCTTTTTGTACACAAATTACACCTTTTGGAAGGCCATTCAATTGCTAATTCGTTAAAAAAAACATCAAATTACTACAATGTACACACCTTTCACTCTGGCAATTCACAGCCATTACGCTCCCTGTTTGGAAACTAAAAGTTAAATTTCTGGTAATTATCTAGTGTTGCATCTTTTCTTTCATGAACCATATAAATACATTAATACATGTCTCAATTTAAACTATGAGCCAGATCAGATAACTGCATTCAGTTACTGCCTAGAAATAGAAGTTTTAACGGTTTAAATGGTAAACTTAGAGTTACTGAAACCTTAATTATACTGTAATGTTAAGTTGTTTGATGGTGCTGCAAAATATTGTGCATTTTATATTGTTTAATTTAAAATTCTGTTCTTTTCTGATCAGCATTTACGTCTTCTGGGTGTTGTGGGCAAATTTGTTGAATTCTTTGGACCTGGAGTGTCAGAATTATCCATTGCTGATCGAGCAACCATCAGCAATATGTGCCCAGAATATGGTGCTACCGTTGGCTTTTTTCCTGTGGATGCTACCAGCTTGGCATATCTCAAGCAAACAAGTATGTTATGATTGCAAGAATATTGTTGAATAATCAAGTTGTCTGATATCTGGTGTTCTCCTTGCTGATGGGAGAAAAATTTCTTTATCTTCCTTCTGAGAAACATGTTCAATTTGATAATACAAAAGTAGCAAAGTCATTGTGTATTTATATTAAAATATAATAATATCCTATATTAGTATAGGAGATGAAATTAGTGATGCTATTTGTAATTAATCCTTCAGAAATTATCAGGAAAAATATGTCATAATATTCAAATGTATTGTTTTGGTTCATTTTTTGATGGATTGTTCATTGTGCAGATCGAGACGAAAATAAAATCAAAATAATTGAAGCATACTTGAAGCATACCAATATGCTCCGTGACTTCAATAATCCTGAGCAAGATCCCGTTTTTTCACAGGTAAAAATTGTTTGTTTGCCTTTCCTTACATTCTCTTTTATTCTTTCTCATTTTTGTAAATTGAACTAAGTATTTGAGGTAGAAGAAATATAACATTTAAATCTTCTGAAGGGTGTAAGTTGATTTCTTTCCGCCAGCATTTCTGACATTTCTTTGTATCTTACTTTCAATTTCTTTATTTAATGTTCAGGTTGTCACCTTGGATTTAGCCACTGTAGTGTCTTCTGTAAGTGGACCAAAGAGGCCACATGACCGCGTTGCTGTAGCTGATATGCCTGGGGATTTCCGCCAGTGCCTTACCAACAAGGTAAGTGACACAATTTTAATGACTGTTTTGTGAATATGAAGTGAAGATAATGAAACATTTCTGTGAAAATAACTAAATATTTATTATTGAATACACATTTTTTTATTTTAATTTTCTTTCCCTTCAAACAAATTATGTGTGAATCACAACAATTAAGAGAATAATAGAAATGAATCAAATAAATTGACATTTAGTCTTTTAAAATTATAATGTTTACTGAGTGTTGGAATGCACATTAATTTTTTAATATATACTCAATTGAAATTTTTTATGATAATACATTTATAATGAAATTAGTGAATTGATGGTGAAATTATTTTTGTGTATTTTATCAGGCAAAATTTAATCACAAATCATAGTTTTATGATTATTCCCACGCTTTTCAGAAATGAAACTATAAATACCTTGAAAAATGAGAATATATGCTGTATACAAGTTTTTTTATTCCATTAATATATTTATGATGTAAATATGATTGAAGCTCTTGTTTTCTTTCATTAGAGGCCTGTATATGAAGTATGCTCTTTGGGTTCCTTTACTCACCTTTATTTCTTATCTTAACGGATGATTGTGAAAAACTGTGTGTGTTGCTACTAATTTGTATTTTCTCAATTTCTTTTAAAGTTGCTAAATTTGAAGCATTTAGTTTCAGAAGGTTCTATGTGCCAGAACCATGATTTGTGAGCTGATAATTTTTAATGGATCTGTGTGCTAAGGGCCAGCGGAAGCCATGTTAGTTGCAAAACAATCCAAGAGATAGCGATGGGTCGATCTCCAACACTAGTTCCATATATTATTTTTACCTTGTTTGCTAGTAACATAGTTCTTGGCACTTAACTCCATATAAACCCAAACGCTTCAATTGAACCAAATTCTCTTCTGCATGGATTGATATTCAAAATGTCGATGTTTGGTGTGGGTTTTGAAATTACTTTTGATTTATTTTTATAAGCTGCTAATGGGAACCGAGACAGAATTTAGTAACATTGAAGAGGCCAGTACCCAGAAAGTTTGGCATGAATGATACAACACTTTATAAAAGTTCCTGTTTGACATTTAATTCAGGTATTGAGCGAATATTCTGTTAACTGTAACCAATTAAGTAGTTAACTCGTAGAATTACGTTGTGTTAAAATTCTATTTTCTTTGATGTTATATTTTCTAGGCAGAGTGTTGTGCTCTTTTTGCTGTTTTCTTTCAACAATGTTGCAAAGAGAATTCAAAATTTCAATAGTCACTCAAAATTTATAGTCATGTCATTGAGAGTGCTCTTAGTAATTAATTTCTTAATTCAATAAAATTAATGCATATAATTCTTTCATTTAATTATATACCCTTCATTTAAGCTATATAAAAGTTCGTTTCAACTTCGTAACTTTTGAATATTTTCATAACTGATATTGGAGAACTATGAACCTTCCCCTTACACCAGGGATTCCCAAAACCTTTTCTTTATCAACCCTTTTTTTAAAAAAATGGTTTGCTTCATTGACCTCTTTCAATTTTTTCTATAATATACAGCATACAAATTTATCATAATAAAAGTAATTCCCTTAAAGAGAGAAGAAAATTTTCATTATACAATGTATATTGCAATATTTTATTTTATTAATATGAATGATATGAAATACGAACAAATTTGTGGTGTTCTGTAGCTTTATATAAGTATAAATATAGTGTCATAATTATTTTTTGTAATCAAAGGGATCTTTATCTTCAATATACTGATCAGTTACCTGTTCATATTTGGATATCGATCTCCAATTGACCTCTTGATCATCATTGACCCCTTTTAAAATGTCGTTGCTTCTAGGGATCAATATCATGTCAGTTGGGAAACCTCTGCCTTACACTTTGTAATAATAAAAGGACTGACTCAAGGAGGAAAATTAGAAAGCACACACTGTGGCCTAGTGATAGCTCTTGCTCCAAGGGGAAGCCTATATTATAAAGCTTATAAGCCTTCAATTGTTTGTGTAGATTGAGTGTTTATTTCAAAGGTGCAGACTTTTTGAGACCTTCGTTTATGTATTTCTTTAAAATTGTGATCTCAGTTTAGTGAAACGATGTGTAGTTACCGACTATTGTCTTACCTTTTTTTCCTATTGTTTGGAAAATGGTCTCGGGCATGATTTTTAGTTTCTCGCCTTACTGTGCAAGAAGAAAACCATTTTAAATATGTGCCAGAAATTTTGTTTTTTTCAACAGAGAAACTCGTAATGCAGGACCTTGGTAATGAAAAGTGGATAAACCTTGTTCCTATGTGTAGGTAATGACTACCTATAGCAAGTTTTGCAGTCGGAATACATATTTTCTGAGTTGATACTGAACATTCGTTTGATAGTAAAACCTGTATCTATCTGTCCATGGTCAATGATAGCTCAACTATTCAGATAATTTTCTCCAAAATTAATATTCCTGGATTGAACACACTCAACTCGAGCCCCTGTGAGTTTGAAACATCTTTTTGGGCGGTTCTTAAATGAAGTCCCAAAATATTATTATTAAACTTTTCCCAGAGATAGGTAAAGGATGCTTAAATGAATAGAGCAGATGCCATTTTCGTTGAAATACCTGTTTTCTCAAAAATCGTAAAAGTTGAAAGGGGGAGATTTTTTCGCCTAATGAAATGTGTTGTTCAAAGACATCTTGAAATAACGTTGTGTAGAATTTTTAGAAAACATGAGTAGTTTTCACATAATTTTGCATTAAATTATTTTTGTAAGTATTAATGGATGATAAAAGAAACTTGCACAAGACTAATTTCCAGCAAACATTCTCTATTCAGCAAGAATTCAAAAAGTTAACATTTCAGAACGACGATGTTGAAGATTGTTTCGCTTAGTAGACTTCCATAATGTTTCTCTTAAAATACTTAAAAGCATTGCTTTTAATAAGGTTGAATAGCGTTGATAAAGACAGACAAAGGTAGCGCTTCCAAAAATTAATGAATGTATCTAAATCATAAGATGTGATCATCCACCAATTGAGTAGATTAATCACAAGAAAGAAAGAAAGAAAGAAAGAAGAAAAAAAAATGGCACGAAAATTCTTTTGCAAAGTTGTTCATTTTCTTCATTTTTTGTTAATGGGTCAGAGAGAGAGCTAAAATTGTGATGTTGAGCATAACCACATTTCTCTCTGAAAGGCTCATTTCATTCAACATTTAGATTTCCATTTTGTCGTAAGATGATAGGATAATATCTTGTTTATTTATTTGGCTCTCCATTGATATACAAATGTCAAAGACTAAACAAGCTGTATCTGAAAACTATGCTTGTTACAATTATTTACAATAACTCGTTCAAGTATGTACATACGTATTTCTGTGTGCCGAAAAACGCTGTGGTGCAAGTCCAAATTACATAAATATACTAGATTCCTTCTAAATTAAGAATAGAAAAAGTACTAACTAAACACTACCTGGTGAACCTCTATTATTCAGGATAAGAGAGTTCAAATTAAAAGGCCAATCAAAATATTTTTATTAGTTCAATTGTGTTAATTAAAAGGTAAATGCAGAAGAAATGCCCAAAAATTAATTTTATAAATAGATAGAAAAAAGGTGGATAGTTAATTGACATCAATTTTAGTACAGATAACAATTACATTTGCAGAAATTATCTTTTCATTTTCTAAATTGTGACTACTGTGATCAGTTGAAAATTCTCTCCAAATCAATTGATTAAATGAATGAAATAATTATGAGTTTGCAAGTTTCTAGCCTGTCTTGTTACTAGCGTGTTTTTTTTTTAAATTTCATTCATATAATCATTTTCTTTATGAAAAAGACCCCAAATAAAAATTTCTAATAAATTGTAATAAAACATATCTAGGATTTCCCTTCTATGAAAAATATCTGACAAACAAGAACTAGTGTATAATTCAGAAGTTTATTGACAAGAGTACCAAGAGTAAACTCATTCAGATAATTTATGTTTAAATTAAATCAATATTTTCTTTGGTAGTTATTTTCTCAGCTTTAAGTTGTGTATCAAACAAAGATCATGAAACAATGTTCAACTTACTTTCAATAAATAATTTAGAATAATTTTTATTACAGAAGTTCTGCATTCAATTTAGCCCAATTCAGTTTTGTATTTCAATTTAGTTCAATTTTTAGTAATCTTGGACTCCTTTTAATCGAAGTCCTTTTAATTTCCCAGCAATAAGTTTATTATTAACACAGCTATATGAAACTTAATGTTGCTGCATTTCATGAACAAATTGTCTGCAATTGGGATAAACATTGAAACATAAAACTACTTCTTATCATTAGAAGTTAAATCAGTTATTACAAGTAATTAAAACCAATATATTCTGTATTAATTGTACATTAACAATTCATGAATGAATTGTTTTCACTTTACCTTTCTACATTAACAATTTTTCATAAATTACCACCAACTGGTACAGTGGTAAAAGACTATATATCTGAGCATTGGGTGAGAATTCAAACAAATAAATTATTGTTCCATTTAGTATGAATATCAATCTATCAAAACCGTTTTTGTAATTGGGGTCTGCAAAATTTCTCTCAAATTTTTTTCTTTCGCAAATACATCTTCAAAATTCAAGGCAGAGAAACTAATGGTATACAATGTATAGATCTTCAAGGTATCTACTGTGTTCCTACAGTTGAAATATTCTGTAAACATTTTCGTTGCTCCCATGGTAAAAAGAAAAAACTGCTTAATGAAAATGCAGGAAACATGCCCACAAGACTTGCACATAATGTGAACCTAATTTCCTTTTTTTAAAGAAACATGTTACATTGTATAGCCATTGTGTGTATTTCTAAATGTTTTGCAAATTAGCAAAGGTTGGAAAGTCACTTGTATAATCAATGTAATTTTTCCCTCATCAGGGAATTGGGCAACAAATATTGACTAACAGAAAAAGAAAGTTTCATTGACCATCATCATATCAAAAACTGATTAAGAATTTCTTGGTGTTCAAGTTGTAATAGAAGAATGTGTAAATTTGATCTATTTTGGTCA